ATGCTGAAGCTGAAGCTCCAATACTCTGGCCACCTGATGCAAAGAACTGACTCATTAGAAAAGGCCCTGATGCTGGGAAAGATTGAAGGCAGGAGAAGGGGATGACAGAGACTGAGATGGTTGGATGGCATCACCAACTTGATGGACATGAGTTTGAGCAAGTTCTGGGAGTTGGTGAAGGACAGGGAAGCCTGGTGTGCTGCAGTCCATGGGGTTGCAAAGAGTCAGACACGACTGAATGACTGAACTGAACTAAACACTCCTGCAATCAGCTGGGGCCATAACAGCAGTGACCAAGATCAGGCAGAAACAATAACAGTCAAGATTTTCCTCTCACGAGCATCCCCCTCCTCCCACTGCCATTCTCCATCCAAGCCACAACCATTTTGTTCCACCATGAATCTGGACCCTTAGCCACTTTGGCATAATTAGCCAAGGCATCTACAGTGACTCACTCCCAGCTTTTCTCATTACACTGAAGACAATCAATGCTCCCGGAGGTCAAAGAAATTTGTCCTCCCCAAGAAAAGTGCACCCGTGGTCCTCAAACAGTAACTTGAAGACAGTCTCTGCACTCACTGCTTACCTGCTTCTCCTAGTTAAAATGCATGATTCAATACTACAAGCAAAGCCAAACCATTTCCAGCACCCTAGAGAGACATTTTAGCTTTGGCCACATCTCAAACTGGAAACTATTTGTTAAGGACCGTAATAAAAGGGCTTCCCTTGTGGCTCAGCTGGTAAAGAATCCGCCTGCAATGCAGGAGACCTGTTGGGAAGATACCCTTGAGAAGGGAAATGCTACCCACTCCAGTATTCTGGCTTGGAGAATTCCATGGACATAGTCCATGGGGTTGCAAAGAGTCAGACAGGGCTGAGTGACTTTCACTTTCACTTTCATAATAAAAGGAGGTGAGCCTACACTCTACTAGATCATGCCTCCTCTACTTTTTGTGAAACTGACAGCTTGCAGAACACTACTATCCAAAAAAAAAAAAATCAGGCCCACCCAGAGCGTATGCTGCTGATAATAAAGAACTGCTGGAAAAAAAAAAAAAGAACTGCTGGAAGGACTTTGATTTTACCAGAACATCAGAGGAACTGATGGAGATCTTATCTAAGTCCTCCAGTTCTCCACATGCATGGATGTTTCTTCTCTGCAAACCTGGAGAGAGAAAAATAAAATCTCATACCCTATTCTAATTAGTATCTATTTTAAGAGCTGCAAATACACCTGCATCTACGTTATCAAATGTAGAATTTGCCAATAGCTAATCTGTGTAAACAGAAGTCAGGAGACAGAGGCATTTTTTTCAGTCAACATATTCACACTATCTACTAACTAAGCCCAGGCATTAGAAGGAGCACAATGGAAAGGGGAGAGCTCTGAATGGTATGCTAAGGATGGGACTTCTCTGGTGGCTCAGTCGGTATAAAGGAGACCACCTGTAACACTCAACAGAAAGACAAACCACTTACTCCACCTGTTTGTAGTGATTTTCAATTATTTTAAAAACTTTTTTTTTCAAAGTCCCCTGAACACCCAGAGCAGGGTCTTCCTTAACATTCAAATGCAGATAATTCATATTCTAGTGGTTCTTTAATTTACTCATATACCTATTCCACCCCCGCCCCCGGCAAAATGGAGCATCCTTTTCAGATATCAGTACAAAATCCATTTCCCCTAGGAAGATTACCTTCTGCTTTTAAATGTCCTGGCATAGCATAAAACCTGCAACTTGAAAAGAGCCTAGAAATAATTCGGCTCCAAGACTGTCACACTGGGGACTTCTCTGGTGCTCCAATAGTTAGGATTACTTACTTCCACTGAAAGGGGCACAGATTTGAACTCTGGTAGGAGAAATAAGGTCCCACAAGCCATGCAGCGGGGCCAAGAGGAAAAAAATTATCAAACCGGGGTACAAATGGTTACCCTGCAGGGAGCTCCCAAAGCCCCAAGGAAGATAATGTTAATCTTTTTGAGTGTTTTTTGACTCCAGGCAACAATTTAAAGTCTTTTTATACTAAAGCAAATAAGATGAATCCTGCATTTTATTCATCAAAGGAATAATGGAAGTAACACTGAAAATTCACTGGGAAGTGCTGGAAGCCTCAGGCTGAGCCCCCCAACCCCCCTTCCAGGGTTCCCTCAACCCTGAGGGCTATGAAGGTAAGTTTCAGACTCTTTCAGACTCTATGGACTGTAGCCTGCCAGGCTCCTCTGTCCATGGGATTGATTCTCCAGGCAAGAATACTGGATGTGGGTTGCCATTTCCTTCTCAGGGGACCTTCCCGACCCAGAGATGGAACCCGTGTCTCCTCTGTCAGCAGTCAGATTCTCTACCACTGAGCCACTTGGCAAAGTCCGGCTTTAGAAGCGTCAGTAGAATCCTTTTCCTACTGAGACCCGGGAGCCAAAAGACATTCCCAAGGCTGTGAGCGGCTGCCTGAGAGGTCACCGCCCTGTGAGTCTTCAAGGAGACTTACAGTGCTTCTCACCATCGCCCAGGCGAGGCTGGGAGCAGTCCTTCCTAGAACACTGGACCAGAAGCCCAAACAGAGATTTTAAGAGCTCACCTTCCACTGTGTTCCACCCTCTTCTATTTCAGGTGCACTATTAACAAATACATAATTAAAACTGCTTCTCCATGAATAATGAAGCCACACAGTCCTTCATAAAACACATGTCAAATCCTTTCTTTAACCAGCTGCACATCATTTGGTATTGTATGTAGTTCAGAGGCACCCAGACTGATACATATGCAATTATTTTCTCTCTCTTCACTAAAACTTTGAACTTTTCAACAGTGCAAGTGGCCTCCATTGGGATACACCTAATAAAAAGGCAAGTCAAATTAGGGAACATTTATTCAAAAAGAAGGAAAAAGAGCGGGAGAGGAACAAGAAGACCCATTCAACAGTGTTTCTGTATACAACAGAGACTCACCCAGGTTAAAAATCTAGAACCCACATGAGCCCTGGGATTGGTGGAAATAGTTGTCCCCTAACATCTTAATCTCCTAAAAGGACCATCCCTTTGTCCTCTCACAGAAATCCAAATACATACCAAATACAGGTGAATTAAACAGATCAGGGTTCATTGTCAAAACCAAAGGTCATGTGATCATATATTTGAAGAGGCTGGCTGTTGTAATATTATCCTCAAGTTTACTAAACTGAAAGACAGGTGGAAGACTTGATTTAATATCAGCAACCCCCAGTAAGTTTAAAGGAACTCGTCACCCTCCAATGCCTTTCCCACTGGAGCCCTGCAGGAGAAAAGAAGCGCCTCTCGGAAGAGCAGCCGCCTGCCTGCCTTTCTCAACTGTTTTCTAGGCTATATGGTGTAATAGAATAATCAAGTCTAGGAAAACACCAACAGCTGCTGGGCAGAGAAAGCCCAAGGTCGGCTCTCCACCTTGGGAGCAGACAGTCACGGGGGGAACCCAGAGTTAATTCCAGCCTCATAGAACAATTACAGAGACCTACTATGTGCAAGGTCGGGGCAGGAGCTCAGAAGAAAGTCCACATCACATGGCAAACAGTAAAATGCTGCTAGTCTGGAAACAAAGTTTAGGAACTCCTCTCAATGTGAGCAATGCTGTTTCATTTTCAAAGTCCTTTTACAAAATCTGATTCAACCCTCCCAATAAAGAAGAAGGAAAATAACTTCTATTATGTTTGCTATCATCCCAATTAGGGCTCAAAAACCAAGTCACAAATCTAGTCATGTAGGAAGAAGACCTAAAAATCCTCCCAGGTCATTCAAACTTTTACAGACACTTTCATTCACAGCACTCTTTAATCCTTACAACAGTTCAGGGAAGTTTGTTTGGGTTTTGTTTGTTTGTTTTGCAGGGGGTGGGGGTGGGGGTGCAATCCCAAAGAGGGGAGAGCCTGGTCAAAGAGGTTAAATAAGCACCCAAGGTCACATAGCCAGAAAAGAGAGGAGCTGCAATCTGAATCCAGGTTCCCCCCTTCAAATTCTTCTCTAACACACCAGAGAGAAGGATTATGAGCAACACAGCCAGAGTGGAGACACCCTCCACAGAGAGCTGGGGGTGGGAAACCAAATCCCACAGGTCCCTGGGGCATCAAACAGGAAATGGTTGGTGCTGGGACCAAGCTGAAACCCAACTCTGGTCTAACCTGCTGCCCACGGACATGCACTTTCTACCCAGCTCAGCATCATCCCCAAGCCTGGGTCAGCACTCCAGGTGGCTCGGTGCACAACTGTCTGGGCACCTCTGTGATAAAGATGGGGCCAGAGATGGAAGGGCACACACACGTGATCTTTCCAAACCAAGAGGCAGGAACCATCTGTCACTCCAGGTCCAATTCTGAACCTGCCAGCCGACCTGTCATCGTCCACTGGAACTTGGGACACCCTCCCTGGTGCAGACTGCCCAGAGCCACCATCCCTCAGTCCGGCGCCCTCCCTCTCTGCCGCTCTTGCAGTTGGAAACCGGGAAGGACGCTGTTCCTAGCTTGTTTGCCTGGGGTGTATATCTCCACCCTGCCCCAGAACCAAAAGATGCTCCACTGGAAAGGGTACCCATCCTGCCTACCCAACCGCAGACACTGACAACATTCACCCATTTGCTTGAAGCAAAGTTCTAGTGAGGCATATGGGGGACAAATATTTTTTAATCAGAGGCCTAAACATACTTAGAAAGGGCCCAAAGCAGACGCTGATTTCAGTTTCTGAACAGGCGCAGCGAAGGGGTCTAAAATACGCAGACTTAAAGGGTAGGGGGCACCCAGGGACAACCCAGGAAGCAAGGAAGCGTGGCTTTAGATTTGTGTTTTCCTGAACACAACTTTACAAAAGAGGAAGCAATACATTTTATTAAGTTTCTTGTAACTGCAGGAGGCTGACCTTGGAGATTCGAAAAGAACTGAAAAACTCGGGTCCAAAAAGTGACAAAGTGAACTTGTTAACTCTCGGGATGGAAAGGAGGGGGCCTAAAAGCCATTTGTCCCGTGCCAAACACTCTCAGAAGATGGAGTTTACATTCGTTTGGCGGGTGAGCAGGAATGGGGTGCCGCTCGCGCTCTGGCCTGGCTCAGCTCGGGGCTCTTTGAAGGTCGCCTCATTGTCACTTCGAAGCGCCGGAGCCGGGAATCCAGGCCACGCGGCGTGACTGACACGATGCACTATGGGCACCTTTCTGTGCCCCATGGCCCTCCCGCAGGTGCAGCCGACGCCGGAGGGGGCCGCCCCCGCAGAGTCCCGGCCTCTCGCCGTTATCACTGCATGCACCCACACTCCCGAAACAGCTTCCCCACCCATCCCCGAGGGCCCGATGCGCTGAAGTCACCGGTCAGCGGTCCCCGGGCTTACCCTCGAGAGGCGCACGGAGCGCGGCCCCGTAGCAGGCGCGATCCCGGGGGCCTCCGGCGCCGGGCTGCCCAAACGATCGGCTCTCCTGGCCGCCTCCTTCTCGTTGTCCTCGGCCCAGTCCCGGCCGCCCGGCGGCTCCGGTTCCCTCCACAGCAGCCGGCCGGGCGGCACCGGGGCGCACGCGGCGGGCTCGGCTGGGGCGCCTCCTCCTCTTTCGGCTGCCCTGCCACCGACTCAGCGCTCCCGGGCTCCGGGTCCGGGGTTCTGGGACGCGGGGCTTGTCGGGGCGCTCCGGGTCCCCCGCGCTCCCTCCTGCGCCGCCCTCCCGCGCGCGGCCCCTCTCCCGGGGCGCCTCACTCGTTGCGCGCGGCCGTCAGAGGCTCGGGGGCACGCGGGGGCGGCGGTCTGGTGGGCCCCGGGGTGGCGGGCGGGGGCGCTGCTGTGGACCGGGGCACTGATGCAGGCGCCGCGGCGCGGCCTCTCGCCATGGCTCTCGGCGGGCGGGCGCTTCGCACCTCCCCTCCGCGCTGCCGTCACTGCCCAACGCGCGCCGAGCCCTCCCCTTCCCCCGCCCCGCCTGCAGGCCCGCACCACCACCTCCAGGACGCCCGCCGGGCGGAGCGCGTCGCTGCTGCCCCGTGCTGCCCCCCTCTAACCTCTCCGGCAGGTGGCCGGCTCCTGCGCCTTTACCGGCGTCTGGCCTGGAGAAGTCCCGGGGGAAAATAGCTGGACCGGGAAAGGTATCCCACACTCCCAGTACCACCGCCTTCGCCCCAGCACTTCTAGCACTTCTCGGTGTCTGTCCGGCCAGTCTATGGGGAGGGTGAAACTCACGCTGACTGCCGTGAACGCGGGGGAAATCCAGGCGCTCCGTTCGTGCAGGCCAGGCCGTCCCCTAGGAAAGCAATCCTTAGGCTTAAATGGGGGTGGGCCAGGGCCAGGAGGTGAAGGGAATATGAATGAACAAAATGCCCGCAAACAGTAAGGGAGGGAGACAGGGGTGTGGAGGATCAGGAACCGATCCAGGAAGTGAGTGCATTCAGGCTACTCTAATATGCAAACCACCAGTGGACAGTTTAACGGGGAACAACACGCATGACCTCATTTCCAGTTAAGGCTGCTGAGTTTACAGCAGCAGCCTCGTCCCTGCCCAAAGGTCATGGAGGACACTGGGAGGACATGGAGAAGACTCAGATCAGAACGGAAGACCCAAGGAAGCTAAACCAGAGAAAAACCTGGTTTCCATTACTGGAAGGGGACTTGAAGAGAAGGTGTATAGTAAAGATCGGTTCAAGCAGGAATCATCCACGGATGCTGGCTCTAGGGGGTTGTGGTTTATTGTGTGGCAGATAGTTGCCTGGGTTAGTGTGTCTCCCCCATAGGTGGTTTAGGCTTATTAGTAGCAAGAGAAAAGTATTCAGTATACAGAGGGGCAGGGAGACAGCACTTTGACCAGGATCAAAACTGACATCACGGATGAAAGCAGATGGATAACATGTCTTCAGAACACATCACCTAGACAGTATTTCCAGGGAGAATGCAGAACCTGAATCTAATGATAATGAAACCCCAGACAAACCAAAATGAGGAATATCTATTTCAAAAGGAGGCAGGGACTGTATTCTTCAAACATGTCAATGTCGCAAAAGAAGACTTGGGAAATGTTCTAGATTAAAGAGTGCTAAAAAGTCTTGACAACTAAATGTGATACCTGGTCCTAGACTGGATGTTTGGGGGAGGGGAGATGCTGTAAAGAACATTCCAATGGACAAAATTGGAATCCTGATAGTAAAGTATAGGCTCAATGTGCTGATGTTGATACTTGTATTATGGTCGTGTACAAGGATATCCCTCTTCTTAGAAATACACTCTGAAGTATTGCGTAGGGGTAAAGAGGCACTATGTATGCAATTTATCTTCAAATGATTCACAAAAAAACTGTTGATAGAAAAAAAATGCTAAAGTAAATGGGCAAAAAAATTAACCATCAGTGAATCTGAGTTCAGGGTGTATTGGAATGTTTCTGTAAGTTTGAAATTGTTTTCAAATAAAAAGATTTTGAAAAACCATCAAGTGGGAGATGAGGTGAGATGGGAAGAAGGCAAAGAAGTGGTCATAAAAAGACAACCCAAGAGATCCTGGTGGTTTTAGGACTTGTGGCTTTAGAATAGGTGATAAAACTTATGTAGAACTGATACGCACACACATAAGTACAAGTAAAACTAGGGAAATTGAAGAAGACAGGTGGACTGTATGAATGTCAATATTGTAGTTGTGATACCATATTAAAGTTTTCCAAATGTTATCATTGGGGAAATTAGGCAAAGGGTATTATTTCTTATGATTGAACATGAATCTACAATTATCTCATTAAAAATTTCAATTACAAGGAGTTCCCTGTTGGCCTCATGGTTAGGATTCTGGGCTTTCATTGCCATGGTCTGGGGTCAGTCACTGATTAGGGAACTGAGATCCCCACAAGCCGCCCAGCACAGCTGAAAAAAGAATTTTTTTCAGTTACCAAAAAAAAAAAAAGATCATGTATGTGCCAGGTATGTACATAAATGAGCATAGCTGCCTGGGAGTTCAAAGAGCAGATGTGCGGAGCTCCTAGTAGGTTTAGAGCCGACATGGAGCAGTTACCAACAGCAAGGGTTTTTTTAAGGATGAAAAGACTATGTGAAGTATAACTGACAGATCAGGTTCCTTCCAGTTCTGTAATTTAAGAATCCAAGAGCTGGGGGATCTTTGAGATCATCTAGTCCAACCTTCTCATTTTCAGGAAACTGCGGGCAGAAAAGTGGTACATGACCAGAGGAGCACCAAATTAGTGGTAGACCCGTAACTACAACTCTTGTCTGCTGAAATATGTCCAGTGCTCTTTGCACCTTTACCAGCTGCCTGTCACTCTCCATATCCATGAGATAGAGTCAAAGTTGGTACAGAATTCTGAAGTCATTCATTCAGCCATTTTGAGCCCTTGCCTGTGGCCTTGTGGGAGCAGGGTCCTGACATGTGGTTCCCAGCACCAGATGACTGACTGTGGATTCCACTCCAGAGGAGGAGGGGCCAGTCTGCCTCTTACACTCACAGCTTGGAGGAAGCAGGTGGCAGACGGAACCCCTGGAGCGAGTCAGCCCCCCCAGCTATGGGCCCTGAGCTACTTGAAGCTGCTGGTAGCCAGCTGCTGCTGCAAGTCAAGAGTGCAGGGCCCTGGGAAGGATGCAGGATGGATACATGGAAGAGAAAACAGTCATTGCCCTGGCAGGTCCCAGCCTCATCCAATATCAGGAAGAGGTGTCTGCACCAGAAGTGACTCTGGCCTCCCTTGGGTCATGGAAAGTCACTATTCTTTCCTTTTGTCAAATCGAATCAAAATCAAAATCAACACGTTTACAGATATTTGTCAGGCTCTGAATTAGTTACTGTGGGAAAATGCATACAAACAAACAAAAAATATCTGATCCTTGACCTTTAAGTGAAGTGAAAGTGAAGTCGCTCAGTCGTGTCTAGCTCTTTGCGACCCCATGGACTGTAGCCTACCAGGCTTCTCCGTCCATGGGGTTTTCTAGGCAAGAATACTGGAGTGGGTTGCCATTTCCTTCTCCAGGAGATCTTCCTGACCCAGGGATTGAACCCGGGTCTCCCACATCATAGGCAGACACTTTACTGTCTGAGCCACTTGACCCTTAGGAACCCAAAATATAGCAAGGGACCCAGGATGGAAATGTAGAAAATGACCTGACCAAATAATTAAGATGCTAGCTTTGTAGGGTCAGGTTCTCCTCAGAAGCAGGGTTAGAGAAGGGCTTGAGGGGAGTGATCCCATGGAATAGAGGTGGGAAAAGGAATCAGGACCACACAAAAGAGGGAAGGAGAGAAAGCCCTTCCAAGGGTGCTTGGTCTAGGTGGTAAACACTATGATCAACTGAGCTCAGTCCCACTGCGGTGGCCCTCTGAGGAACTGCAAAGAATGAAAGACAAAAGAAGGGAGCATCTATCCACCAGTTCCTGCCTCCCACTGGTCAAGTGGACGCTGAGCAGAAAAGTAAACCAAGCAGGTATGACACAGGACATACAAACGTAAAATGCTGCCTGATGTACCAGCAAAAAAGAAGCCTGAGGGCAGGGATTTTTGTCTGCTTTTATCACACTGTTGCTTTCCCAGCACCAAAGGAAAGTGAAAGTGAAGTCGCTCAGTCGTGTCTGACTCTTTGCAACCCCATGAACTGTGGCCTACCAGGCTCCTCCATCCATGGAATTTTCCAAGCAAGAGTACTGGAGTGGGTTGCCATTTCCTTCTCCAGAGGATCTTCCCAACTCAGGGATCAAATTCAGGTCTCCCGCGTTTGCAGGCAGACGCTTTACCATCAAAGCCAGTTCATAATTTCCCAGCCCTGATGCCTAATTCATAATAGATGTCTAATCAATAGATACAGAATGGATGAAATACTAGCTTAGGTTGAGGATAGAAGAAATTATAGAAAATAGATGCATAAGTCATTTTTCAACAATTTGTATATGTATGTGCCTATTTGTGCCAGGTATTGGATAGTCCAGGTATTGGATAGGGTGACAGTATAGTGAATAAAACAGGTATAATCCTGGCCTTATTGGACATCCCAGTCTAGGAGATGAATCAGGTAATATGATACATGAACACATATTCAATTAGCTTGTGACAAATGCTCTGAAGAAAAGGATGCAGGCACTAGAAGTAGGTAATAGGCAGATTTATGATAGTTGGTCTGGGAGGACCTGTCTAAGGAGGTGACCCTTAAGGTGAGATTAAGAGGAAGAACAGGAGCCAACCGAGCAAAGGGGAAAGGGACAGCACGAGATAAACAGAGGCAACAAAGACCCTCCTTGGCTGGAGTCATGGCAAAGAGCCAGACCATGGGTTTGTGATGCTTTGGGTAAGGAGAAAAGAGTTTTGGGTAAGAGAGTGATATCATCAAAGGCAGATTTTTAAAAAGCTCCCCCCAGCTGCTGTGTGGAAGATGGACTCAATTGGACAGCCAAGAAGATCTCATGGCTTTGGAAGGTATAAAGAGGACCAGACCACTTCAGGGCCAGACAGGGAGGCACAGCTTCCACGGCATCTACCTCCACCACCTCTACTGCCGGCCAGTCATACTTCAGTGATGTGCTGACACCCCACTGTAACATGCATGGCCCCCCCCCCAAATTGAACTAGTAGAGTATAGGTTTGCATAACTGAAGTTTCGTTAAAATCAATATTTCTCAGACAATCTTACAGTTACTATTTTTTTAAAGAAAAAAATGTCTTCTATTCATTTCATAGATATATAGGAAATAGGTCAATTATTACAAATAAAGCTTAAACTGACATGGAGCACCCTAAATGATTGTGGGGGTACTCACCTGTAACTACCTCCCACACATACATCTTCCAAGAAAAGAACTTGAACCTGCCACCATTCTAGACCAAGAGCAAAAGTCCAACTACATTATACCCACTCTGATGTTATCACTGAATGTCTTATCCTTGGGTTTTAATCCAACATTTATTGAGCACATATATGTGCCAAGCACAGTACTAAGTGCTTTAATTATAACAGCTCAGTGAATCCTCACAGCAACTCTGTGAGATAGCTACCAACAGTTTATAGATAAGAAAACTGAGCCTCAGAGAAGTTAATTAACTTACCCAAAGTCAAATACTATGGACAAGGTCAGAATCCAATCCAGGCTTCTAGCCTCAT